TTGTTGTTCTCCATGATCCTGTTCCACGTCATGATCTTCGACGTGGTCATCGTCGACTCCACCGTCATGTTCAGAATCTCCGCGATCTTCTGGTTGTTCATAGTTCCCCTCTGCTTCAGCGACAAGCTCTTCATCGAGAACGCGACCGCCTCNNTTCATGCTCTTCTCGTCCATCCTGTCATACCTCACCAACTTCTCCTTCAAATATTTCTCTTCCTCTTCCAGGATCTTAGAGTAGATTTTGTAGCTCATCTCGACCTCGGTGCCGATCTTCGCGCTGACGAAATGGGATATGTACCAGGACGAGAGAGACTGCTTGAAGCTCCTGAAGCTCTTCGGGTTGAAGAAAGACGGCAAGGAGAAAGTTTTCTGCGACAACCCTTTGTCCAACCCTCTGAAACTGCTGATTCTGATGGTGTTGGCCTTCATGATGAGCATCTCCGTGTACTTGAACATTCGGTCCATCGTGAAGGACTCCAGCGAGCTCCTGATCGGGTCCGACAACAAGTTCTCCAAGCAGTCGATCCTCCAGGAGGCCGCCGCAGTCAAGGAGTGCGTGAGGTACCTGACGGACGTCAACGTCGACGAAAGCTTCTTGGAGCTGGACAAGATCACCAACGAGTAGAACGCCAGCTCCTCCCTCAACCTGTCCCAGGCTGAGACCTTGAAGAGAGACAAGAAAGAGCACCCCACGAACATCAACTTCTTGTTGCAAACCAGGAGGGACTCCATCTCGTTCCGCCTGATGGTGATCCAGTTCGTGCTGTACATGACCTCGTTGGTCTTGAACATGTCGGCCGTGAACTCGATCAAAGATATGTTCTTCTTGCTGACCAGCTTGATCCTCAACATGGAGTCCTGCATATCCTTCTTCGTCGACTGCACCATCACCATCACCTTGAGCTTCGAAGACCACTTCGCAATGATCTTCTTCTTGGTGGTCTTGATCCTTCTCATCAAGAAGGTCAGCTCCTCCGCCATAATCTGGTAGAACAGGGTCACCTCGTACATCATGGTCATCTGAACGAACTTCGCCTCAGGAGTCGAGAAGGAAATTTCGTCCTTGAAGTCCGACGCGCGCTTGATGGCGGCGATTCTCCTGATCATGGTTTCCACGTAGCTGATGTGCCTGTCCTTCACCCCGATCCCGAAGGCCTTCAAGTCCTCGTCCTGCAACTCTTTCGAGAAGAAGTCCGAATCCTCGAGGTCCTTCTCGTAGATGTTCAGGGACTTGTCCTTCAGGTAGAACCCCATCTCCACCATCTCCACAACTTTGATGATGTCGTTGGTCTCCGCCCTCACCAAGATCGGCAGCTTGAACTTCGGCTTCACGAACACTGCCGGACTGTTGTACATCTTCGACTTTTTCAACCGGTTGACCTCGGAGATCAGCTCCTCGACCGAAGCGTTGCTCTGAGTGAAGACCTTCGTCTTCCTGACGTCCATTTCGTCGGACAAGCATATCCTCGTGATCTTCGCCTTGAAGTCGTCGATGTCCAAGTCTTCGTACAGCGAGTCAAGCTTCTCTATCCCGGAATCGAGCTCCGAGGACGAGAGCAACTTCCTCAAGTCCATCGCCACGTCTTCGGTCTTCAACGACTCCTGCGTGGTTTCGTCCAAAGAGACCGCCTGAACGTCTCTCATCTCCCTCATGTTCTCGGAGATCATCATCGTGGCGATCGACTCCATCCTCCTCTGCCTCTCGGTGAAGCCGGTCGTCACAGCCGTCATGCCCTTCGACCTGAGGAAGGCTTCTATAATCGTGCAGTCGTTGAAGAAGGTCTTCACCTCCGAGACTTCTATGAAATCCTCCACGAACAACTCCGAGTCCTTCAGGAACTCGAGCTTCTGTAGCTTCATGTCGAACACGATCACGTGGAACTC